TATACTTATGTAACTAACCTGCATAAACAAGCAAAGGAACCAAACATAAGATCCATACTCTGATCATTGTAATGTCTTCTATCAGATTTCTGATTTTGTCATTCTTTGTTTGCGATAAAAAGTGACCTAATTACACAGCGTTTCAAATTAGCATAAGTCTTAGGAATAGCAACATACAACAAGATTTAAAAAATATTAACACTTCAACTAAACTATTCTGTAGATGGTTTTATTCTACATTTCAACAAAAGACATTCGGAATATTTAAATTTTGTGCAAAAGAAATGAAATACACATTCCTTGAAGTCATCTTTCAGCACACACTGATAAGATAGGTGATTGTCTTGGAGGGAATTTCTCTTAACAATCATTGCCCCTTATAAGATTACTTCAGTACATTTGGACTGTAGACTCTATTTCTTGCATAAGCACGAACAAATATTTTCAAGGTTTCTTCCATGTTTTTGCCACGAAGTTTTTTTTTTCTCGGTTCAAATTGCTATATGTTATTAAATCAACAAAAGACAATAACAAATATAATCTTTGGCAAATCTCCATTTTTGATATACACATATGAATAAGTACATAACTACTAATATGTGGACCTCGTTTTGTTCTATCAGAATTGAATATTAGTCCAAATGTCAACTGCAAACTCCTACATGTATATGAAGTACTGTACATCACTTTTTATTTGCGAGAACTTTATTTTGGCATAATTACGCGAGACAGTGTGCACGCGAAAATTATTTCTCGCATGTATTAGTATTCCTTAAGATTATATAGAGCAATAACCACAATTTGTGAAAATTTTGTCTCGCTAAAAAGAATTAATGAATATCTCGCGAAAAGAAGGTGTCGCGAAAACTTAGTGATCTACAGTAGTAAAACGACAAGCCTCATTGTGACGCCAAACACCGCTGCTCTGACGTCGAACGACATAGGTCCCTCCTTAAAATTCAGTGAAAGAATCATGCCATTTCAAACATTTTTGCATGACTATTTGAAATATGAAGATAACGGACAGTTATCACACTCTGATGTCCATTGGAACAATACAAATTAGGAGCAGAGCAAACACTGACCTCTTAAAACATAAGAAGTGGGATCAGATGCCATGGAGAAGTAATCATCCCCTGTCGATCGGTCACAACCGCCGTGTGCTCCTTGTCATGATCGGGCAAATGAAACAATCTTTGACCAATCTAGAAAACTTAGTGTGAAAATAATGGCCTAACAATTTGTGTGAAAAACATCAGTCAACATTCCACTTAACGATAGATTGTATTTGGTAACAAGGTCATTGTATCGACCTTAGAATCTGCGAAATGTTGACTTTAAACAAGATTCTTTCTATCCCATTATCATCAACTTTGTCAATAACTTGCCTCGTTTTTGAAATTAATCTTAAATAAAAACATGGGATCACATTTCATTTTATTCAATAAATAAAATTTAATTGGAAAAAATTAAATTTATTTTTCATGATGTTTTGTGAGCGAAAGCCTTGTGTTTTTTTAAGAAAACATCAAATGGTGTATTTTCAGTTCCATAAAGTAAGATTTAAAGTTTTACTTTTGCCAGATGTCTGAAAAAAAAGTTGAGAATAAACAGGTAACGCAATATTTTAGTAGATGTTTGAAAGCCACCCTAAACAATTTAATCACATTTCTTGTTTGAAATTCTTTCACAAGAGAAAACAGTTCCAAAAAAACTCTTTTAAAAAGCATCTGACCCTCTGGCTTTAAACAAAATTAGGCTAGGTTGTATATAAACAATTATTTTTTAATTTAAAGATGAATATTAAACACAGATTAGCATACATGTAAATCCTGTCATTTTGGAATCCAAATGCATATAGGAGCGTACTTTCCTAAGTTACTTTGATTGAGACTAAAATGGTCTTGATTCATACATGTCTTACATGTAGAACCGATGGTCGAAGTCATATGGATGACAAGGACTTAACAAAACACTTGTTAATACTGAGTTTTTTTTTTCAGTTACTTTGCGAGTAATTTTATTTTTGATCACATTAATTTTGTCACATTTTTACTTACGTCCAGGATCCAATACCTGGACACTAACAAAAATGTTAGACAAATACTAGTCAAGATTTTATCATGTGAACCATTTCCTAGAAAATTGCTGTGCATTTCAACTTTATACATAGCAGTTATGTGATTGCTACAGATGTTTCATAATGATGAACCAATCTGATGCGAGCTCATCCTATGTTATAACCCCTATGATGAGACCCTTTGAATCTCCGCATTGCTAGTCTGTGTTTTCTCAATAGCACATGTCTTCTGTCCAATTGTCTGTCAGAATAGTGGCCTACAAGACCGCGGCTTCTCAGCGACTGAATGGTGCGTTCTCTCCAATCAAAAGTGTCTGCTGGAAATGAAAACTAATTAAAAATACAATAAGACATATTTGGAGGTTAAAGTATATTTCTTTTTATTGTATCAGTCAAAGAAACGAGAAACCTTTCAGCATTGGATATTTGCTATTTTAATTTACTAGTATAACATTTTTTTTATGAATTACACCAAACGTATGTCCCTTCAGTTATAAAATGCAATATAATGAACTGACTTTTACTTCCTTTGTGACCCGATGCTATAATTCTGCATAACGGTGACTGCATAATATGACCATAATATGAACAGACTACATCGAAATGCTGCGAATTCGTTAGCAATTTGTGGCTCATAGTTCTTAAGAACATTTTATAAATTTTTCTTAAAGATAGCTAATTCCTTAACAAAGGAAAAACAATTTGGAAGGGACAGAATCTAACCTATTGTAAAGTACATGTATATAGTGAAGAAATTATTAACGGGGTACATATCCAGCTGTCATGTCCCCAGTTGGACAGTATATGTAAAACTTTGGACTCCCTTTGTCGTTATGTCCCGACCATGGAGGAATCAGTTGACACTACATTACTAGAAGATGCTTTTAAAATTCGCCACTCTATCTATGGCTTTGTAGTTGTGTAGTTTATGCAGAATTGTAAGGGTTTATCCCTGAGCGTTCAAATTTAGAACTTCTTTTTAATGGCCTTATTCCTCCGACAAGGACCATGTTAAGAATAAAATTGAATTTATTATACACAAAAATGCTTGCAGGTTAATATACCATTTTGTAGCATTGTAATTTTTTTTAGGAGATTTTTAAAGATTCTCTATCTTTTAATACCCTTTCTAGCTTCAACCCCACTCCCCGAATACATAGATTGAACAAAAACGCATTTTTAAAATCTAATATTCCTTACATTTCATTGGGATGGGCCAAAAACGACTTTTCCTCTTTTTTTAGAACAAAAATCGAATCAAGGGAAAAACTATTGATTTTATTCGGACAAAGTACCAAGTTTGATTTTCCTTTACATATTTACATCTTATTAAAGAACTTGGAGGAGTAAGCTATTTGAGACATTTTACTTTCACTTACCTCCTTGGGGAAGGGCATGGATAAGTGTAGAAAGGAGAAAAATTAAAATCCCAGAGTAGTACAGCCGCTACAAGTAAAGTTTGTACATCTTTTGACACGTGTTAAATCAAAAGTAACTGAAAACTTGAAACGAACCGTTCTCTACTAACCATTCTGACTCAAATATCCTGTGCTAACTGTTAACAGCAATTCCCCATTTTTAAAATTTATACTTGTCAAAAAAATTATTGGCAATAAAAGTAATTAAAGCATTTTTTCTAAATGAAATAAAATTTGATTGCGTTCATTGAATGTATTATAGTTCAGATCACACGAAACGTCCGAATTTCAATCACATTTGCATTGAGTTATGCCATATCCACAGTGTGAGTGAAAGAAGAACAATAACTTCCTGTTACCAAGGTCATAAGGGAAATCGATCAAGTGTTGAGGTGAATGGAGAGTCTTATTACTTAGCAAAGATAATATTTTCCTAATTCAACTCACTATTTTTTCAAAACCTATCTTTTTTATATTTAGAATACCCTTTTACCATTTTATTGCTTTAAAACAAGACACCGATTGATTTTACCCAGGTTTCTTTGTGAAATATTAAATTTATACCTACACTTAGTACGGTCCATTCGTCCGTCCGTCTTTCAAACTATTTTCTTCCTATTTGGTGGATCGAAAAACAATGTCTCTTCAAAAATGGTACCAAGAACTCCTCTCTTCATATTACGCACTAGTCATATCATCTTTTGGAATATGATTACTGATGACCTGTAGTTTTGCAACAAGGTTTGGAATTTTTCATTTTCATCCTGGGGACCATCTGGGAGGTTTAAAACATTTTTTTCTTTAAAAACATGGTTCCCAGATTCCCTCTTGTATTTGTCGCAGTAGCCATATCATCTTTTGCAATATAATTGTTGGTGTCCTGTAGATATGCTTCAGGGTTTCGGAAGTTTAGTTGTCTTCCAGGAGAGCAATTGGAACCGAAAAACGACTTTTCCCACAAAAAGTAAACTTTCCTTAGTAATTATAAGAACTAACACTGAGTCCAATCTTTAAATACATGGTGACGTATTTCCTAACTGTTAACATCCTTACTATAAATCCGTGCAACATTAAATATTATGCTACTTTGTTGAACTTTGTAAATATCAAAGAGTAGGATGTATTTTTACATTGGTAAAGGTTCCATAAAAAATCTCTTTTAAATATCTGAATGTCTTGTTCAGCAAGGCAATTTCCTTTCATTTTACATCAACTAATCCTTGTATCATGTTTTTGAATTTGTTTGTTATTATATGTATAAATGAAAGTTTAATTTGTAAAGTTCATTTTTTACCTCTCCCGCATTAACCCCATTTCATTTTCAATACATCTATTTAAACATATTATAAAGTCACTTGTATGATCCAATAATTGACAGAACAGAATATAAAAAGCACTTCTGTCTTCGTTTGATTACGCACTAGTTCAGCGGCGTAATATTCTTAGCGGTGTAATGCGGCATAAGCACGGAAAATCGATAAAGGGATAAAAACCATTAAAAATTAGGTAAAATATATTTATTATTGCGAAAAAAAAAAAATACGAAATTACACATATACCTGTACAATAAATTACATGGAAATTAGCTATATTTTTTCCATCAAAACTTAACAAAGCAAATTAAATATATAAGATAAAGATTATAAGAAAATAAGTCGAACACGTCCTTAAGGTCCTAAACAGCTGCAAAGTGCATCTCCAAATAGTATCGCTTATGTCCAGCACGTTATAGTACATCTTTGTGATGTCCATTACTGGTCTCTGTCAACTTCATATATTCGCTATCGTTATCTTCAACAGCCCGGGGTACGTACGGTTTCTCTTCATTCTCGGAAATCTCGCTGAAAATAAAGGGTTTATACAAGTGCAGTATATCCGAACTGATGCCATCTTTAATTACGTTTTTGTAACTTATTTATTTTTCTCCCTCTCTCACCTTGCTTCGAATGATTTGAAATTTGAAACCATGCATTTTGATGTAAATTTTAAATGAAAACAGGCAAAATTTTTGCATTTGGCAACAAAATGTACACAGACCCTGGACAGACAGATTGTCAGCTCTTTCCAGTGATTGACTTTTCCTGTTCTATGAACAGTTAAAAAATGAGAACGGATTTCAAAGAATTTAAAGAATTTTTGGAGCATATTTCCTAGGGGTGGGACGATATACTGATACAACGATACATACCGATATTTTCTTCTAAGATACGGTTTACGATACACGAACGACCTATCCAAAAATTGAAAATGAAAGTAGTCCTTGGAAAATGGCGGCTTGTATGAAGCGAAGACATGATTATGATGATATTGATATTGAAAACACGCGTTAGAACTAATAATGTGTAGATAAGGGTAAATCATTTTCACTTTTAAGCATCCTCGGAAGATGGGACAAGAAAAGTTCAGTTTGGAAAGCGTGTTATATATATACAGAACGTATCGTTTCCACAACAGTTGATATTAGTCCATCTGGTACTAACAGCTTATAACAATGTATGATTCTCTAATTTCAAGAATTTGAAATTTTGAAACAAATTGTGGATTTTTTTAAAACTCAACTTGGTTACAGACTTTCAGCAATTAATATTAATGTACATGTGATGTTTTTTAAATGAATTTTTAGACAGTGTTCTTGATGAACTACACAACTATTTGTAAACAACTTGTTTATAGACATTTGGCAATGTGTACATGTAACAATGTTTTTGTAAATTTTAAGTCAATGAAATTGATGAACTTCAAGTATTAATTCCAAAGCACACATGATTTGATATAGAATAATTTGTAGATTTAATATCAAGACAAAAATGAAATAAAATACAAAGTTTTTTTTATAGTTTTATAATTTATCATAATATCGAGATACGTATCGTATCGTGTTATGTGTACCGAGATACGTATCGTATCGTAAGATCTGTGTATCGTCCCACCCCTAATATTTCCCCAGTGACTGAGTTTCGGGATGAATTAAGTAAGTAATGAGTAAAACCCTCTCCTAATACAAGAGTAGATCAGTACAAGTGTTTCTGCAAGAAAAAAATAATTGTAAAGCTTGGGAAAATCGCTCCTCCAGTAAAAAATTTGTCCATATTGTTGCTTTGTTCACCAAACCTGAATTAAACGCAAAATTATGGGAAATGCAGATAACACATGTATTTAGTTTACCGCTTTTGTTTTACCTTGCTTTTATAAATTAAATAGATGCATCAGCTAAGAGTGGTAAATTATTGACGTTAGTCAGCAGACTGTATAAACTAACCGACCTTTCTGTTGCTAAATCCTCTTCATGCTCCGCGTCTTCCACCTGCTCCAACAGTTTCCTCTTTTTCGTTTCCGGTAGTGTTATCGAAAGGAGAGCCACAATAATGGTGATGATGCCGTAAATTAACAATGGTAGAGCTGTATGCATTTTACCATCCGTCTAAAATAGATTGTTGTGACATAATGTGTAAGGAGGAGGGAAATAAAGTATAGACAAGATGTAAAAATTAGCGTTAAGGTCAAGATCTAGTAAATGAGTTTAGACTGTCTTGTTGGTGCTAGATCCATTATGACGTCATAATTGATTTAAAGAGGTTGGATCCTGCCAACAAAAGTAATGAGATTTTTTTTATCAAGTATATTTTTAGAATTTATACACATAGCTTAGTTAAAAATCAAAACAAAAATGGAGGTCAATGCGCTTCTTTTGGCGCTACAGAGCATTTAGTTTGACGTTTTTGCACAGTAAAAACGTTTTACACATAAATCAATTTTTAAAGTTTTTCCTCCAATATTTTTTATTCAAATAAATTATGGGAACAAACACAGTTTTGTTTCATTTTAAATAGACACATTAAAATTTGTGGCAATGGATTTTTTTTCAAATTACTCCGCATGTTCAATTATTTGACCTTTTTGCACTCAAAAAATTCATTTTTCTGGCATTAAAAATTTAACAAGCAAAAAAATCATTTGAAAGTAATGACATTTTACTAAATTTAAGAAGAATGGTTAAAAGTATCTTATATATTCAGAAAAGAAAATTAAAAATGGGGGTCTGTGATGTTAATTTTTAGATATTACTAAAATAGTGCTTATTTTAAGCTTAAATTAGGGCTATTTTTTCTTGATTTTTACACTATATTTGCTGTATTTATCAAATATGATGATAGAATTCATGATAGTTTATTTAATATATAATTTAGGACCAGTATAAAACAGTTCACTGCACAAAATAACTCTGTGTGCAGACTGCATGTAAAAATAGGAATCCAAACTTAACATACTTTAAATACTTATAAAGAGAAAAAATGATCATTTTCTTCTAAAGAACCTTCCGCCACAAAATATAGTTCCTCACTTAATGCTTTTGGTATGGACTTTAATCATGGAGTTTTAACTGAATATAGTTGAATTGGCATTGTAGAATCCAAATTTATTGTAAGAATCAAAACATTATGCATATTTTTTTTAAATATAGGTTAAGATAAAAATATGCTCAAAAGCTCAGTAGCGAACCTCGTTAAAGCTTAATTTTCCCCGTACTTTACGGCTGTAATTGAATTATGTAGAAAAAGAAGCATTTTCATGGAATTCAATTTGAAATCATATCAAAAGTAACCCCGATACTTATATTCAATTTAATATCATTTTAAAGTAGAGGTCAAGAAGATACGAACAGTTTTCCGTGAGACTGTGGGCAATATTGATACATTTCCTTTTTCTGTGATAGAAAAAACTCCGAAATTTATACATGACTTTCTTTATTTTTCATTGAAAATGAAAGTTTAAAATACATTTTTTCATTTGAGTTTACCTAAAAATTATGTCCCGATACACCTTATTTTACCAAGCTATATTTATAAAGGATCATTAAAAGAACTCGTTTTTCAAATTTGAAAAATCTGTAGGCACCTTTCATTCACTAGATCTTGACCTTAAGTTTATCATGTTGACAAAACTTACAAGTTGGTACATATAAGGCGAAATGTTGGAACCTATTCTAGCCCCACAACTACAAATTCCCATTACCAAACTCCGGACGACTGTTGGAAACAGTTCTCCTGTGTAGATAAAAATCTCACCGAATCCTGCTGATATTCCAAGCTTCCCGATCATGGACAACGCTATCATTATCCAGTTGTGAGCTGAAGTGTATTGTAAATTTGCGCTTATTAATTTTTGAAAACAACAATTTATTTTTTTACCTCCATTGACTTTCACTATATATAAGATACTAGCATGCTGAAATTCCTTTAAACTAACTATTGCCCCCTCCGCCCAATAGATCTTATTTGCATGGCCCTAAATAGACATTATTGGCGGAGCTAACATAGAAGAACACAAAGTATTTTTTGTGAATTAGTTCCCCGTGATCGAAACATTTCCTTTAGGCTAGTAGATCTCTTCCTGAGACCATGAAACATCATACACATAGGTCTAAAAATGTGGTTGAAGGTCACTTTTGAATTTTTGGCATTCTACTGTTGTCTGTAGTGTGGTTGAAGGTCACTTTTGAGTTTTTAGTGGAAGTAATCTACTGTTGTCGAAAGTGTGGTTGCAGGCTATGACATACCTCATACTAATTGTTAGGACTTCAGATTACTCTGTCTACCTGATCAATACACAGGGCTCATCGCGGGTGTGACCAGTCTACAGGAGATGCTTACAGGAGATGCACCTGATCCCGCCTCTGGAATTTCCAGGGGTCCGTGTTTTATGCCCTGTTTACAGATGTGTATTGTTTGAAGATTTTTTGAGATCGATCACTGTTTGTTATCTTCGCCTATTTCATTTTTGAGTTTTGGGGGGACTTCATTTCTTCATGTCAATGTTATGAGCTTTATTCACTTTTTATGTGATTCAACTTTGATAAATTGGAATGAAATGTGATACATTAGTATGTATAGCAAACTTAGATTGAGTTTCTTGAGATGTCATTATTAACCTTTGAGTTAGACTCTGTTTTTTATGTGCAAGTTAGTTATATTTCAGATTTGATTTAAGACATTGAATCAAGATTTTTGTTACACAATTTAAATACTACATACAGGGAATTTTTCGCCCCGTTATGTTTTTCTCCACTTTTTATTTTCGCCCATTTCGCCCTACTCACAGGTGGACGAATTCAAAGAACACGGTATAATTTCTTAAACAGAACTGTAACTGGGCGAATTTAAAACAGGGCAAAATTATTTGCAAGTGTGAAAGGGCGAAAATAACACAGGGCGAAAATAACTCTGTATACAATCTGGCGTTTTTTAACTGTTGGAAAATTCAAAATTTATTTTTCTGAAAGTGATTTTAATACATGTATTAATCTTTCAGTTTTACATTAAAAGTTAATGCAGTTTTTGTTAAGCAGAGCTGCTAATGATATATTTTTTGGTGAGTTCTGACTAAAACATGGCATTATTACTAAAGAATGTATTACTTCCACAATTATTTAGACATTTTTGACACAGATTCAGCATGTTTTAATTGGGAAGAGGGGGGGGGGGGGGTAGATTATAAATTTATTTCATTTTTCAGCTTAGCAGGACTGCAATATAAAGTACAACTGCATTTCATCTGAGTATTTCCCACCATGAATGTAGGCATTATGAAAATTTGTAGGGAATGTGTGTTGCCTCAGCAACATTATTTTCACAGATTGCTTGTTTGACTGCATCTACTGTTCCGTATACCCTAGTTGAACCATTTATTTTATTCTAAAATAGCACATCAATGAAGCTTACATTCATCTCCAAATAAGACAGGAAACACAGAAGCCAAACACGCAGTTCCACTAAGAAACATCACAGTAAGATGCATGGGTTTTCGTCCTGTTCTGTCCATAAATATACACAGGAAGTAGCCAATGAATTCCATTATGCAGGATATGGCAAAATTAATGTACAAGTCGCCTCCTAACTTCCCAATATGAAGAGTTAATCCGTAATAAATGAACGATATGATAAACCTGATAAAATAAAATCTTGTCTATTTGAAATCTGAAAAGAAATCCATATTTGCTTAAAGTAATACATTTTAAATGCTATACATTTTTAAAACAAAAATACAAATAAATATTTATATATACAAAGCTGCAGATCTGCTGGTCTGAAAAAATGGGAACAGAGAGCTACAGTGCCACTCGTTGAAAAAAAGGCGTATATTTACTGCGCACAGAAAAGTGCGCTGTTTCTCGATTTATTTCTCCGTATATTGAACCTGCCATCCCAAAACCTTACTAACCGTGTGTTCCTTACGTATTCTCTAACTAATTCACCTCGAACATTTCCCATAACCGTTGGTAATTGCCTTACTGAGCCTAAAATTGAGACCATTCAAAGCCTCGCCTATTCCTACTACAATTTTGGGTGGCAAGACAATTCGAACCAACGCGCTGAGGTAGTTCACAGAGGACTATGGATTTGTTTAAATCAAGCTTTTGTGTAGTTGAGGTATCAATATACAATCAATATCAATATATATCAATACAGAACCGAGCGCAACTTTGTACGCAATAAAATAAACAGATTTCAAGGGTGGAACTGTTGCTCTTTGGACTGTCAATATTTTTTCGGAGAGGTACAGTTCTGCAGCTTATATATATATATATATATATATATATATATATATATATATATATATATATATATATATATATATATATATATATAAACGGTTACCAAATAAAGAAGCTCAGTAATCCTCTACATAGTACAAATTGAATGATTAAAATCCAGCAACTTGATGACACAAAGAAATGGCACAACCTACACAAACCTGAGAATGGATAATCTGTCAGAAAAGCATAATGATATTACAAACCAGTTGCAGAAAATGATTATCCATCTTATGAGGAGCTTTCTAGAGTGAAACAGTTCTCTCAAGATCTCACGTACACCCCTGTCTTCTTCTTCCAGCTTAAAGTCACTCGGTAAATCTTCGAACTCTGTATTGTTGCTTTTGGCTGCTTTCCTTAATATCTTAACGGCATCTGTGTTTCTTCCTCGTGATAGAAGCCAGCGGGGGGATTCTGGAAGGACCTGAGGCCTATGCAAATACATACAGACAATCATGTGCATATCAGTAATTTTGATCTGCTGTTTGAACTGCTGTTATATTACATTATTTTTAAGCAAATGATTATACATCTCTTTCTATTAGTCATTTCTAAAGCTACATGTATTACGTTCATTCCAAGGATGAAATTCTTCTAAATCACATTTCAGTGTTTCATACTTTTAACATTCCAATCAACCAAAGTGAGTTTGTCCTACCCTACCTATACTGAATTACTAAACTTCATAAAAATCCTTACAAACAAAGATATATTGCTGGGTCCAGCAAATGCTCTACCAAGCCCCTATCTTTACTCCTAACCAAGATATTAACTGCTGTTAAAGAGAAACTACAGACATATTGTGCTACAGCATACTCTAGAAGTGGTGTAAATCAGATGTGGATCCTCAAAAACTCTAAAGAACTTTTAGAAAACCTGAAGTCACAAAATTTTTCAAAAGTCTATAACATCAAAACGTACGAATTTCTACACTTTATACAAGCATTCCTCACGATAAATTAAAAACTAGGCTTTTTGACATCAAAGACAACTGCTTCTTCAATAAAAACGGAACTTGGAAATTTTCACATCTTGTGATTGGTCATCAACAGAATTACTTCGTTAAAAATCACTCTGATTCTACACACAAGTACTCTGAAGTTGATATTAAAAAGATGCTAGATTTCCTCATCAACAACATTTATGAAGTCTTCGGAGACCAAGTCTTCCAACAAACTGTTGAAATTCCGATGGACACCAATTGTGCTCCTTTATAAGCTGACCCGTTACGAAGCAGAATTTATTAAAAAATTTCTTCATGAGAAGAAAACAGTGGCCTTTAGCTCCACATTCAGATATATCGACGACGTTATATCAATTAACAATGGTTATTTCCATTTATATGTCGACTCTATTTATCCCAATGAACTTGAAATAAAAGACATGTCAGGGTCTGCCTCATTACCTATATATTTGGTTGTTTTACTGACTACAGACGACAAAGGCCAACTAATAATAAAATTGTATGACAAACGAGATGACTTCAGCTTTTCCATCGTCAACTTTCCTTATTAGTCCCCTACCGGTGAAACCGGAGGGGACTATAGGTTTCCTCTGAGTCTGTCCGTCCGTCTGTCCGTCCGTCTGTCTGTCTGTCTGTCTGTCTGTCCCTCTGTCAGTCTGTCCCACTTGGTTTTCCGCACTTTTTTCCTAAACGCTTGCAGATATTGAGCTGATTTTTGGTATGTGAGTGTATCTTGATGAGTTACAGATCAAGTTTGCATTTCGTTCCGCTTCATTGATTTTTGACGGAATTACGGCCTTTTCAATTTTTACGGGTTTTCCGCAATTTTCTTTTAAACGCTTGTAGATATTGAGCTGATTTTTGGTATGTGGCTTTACCTTGATTAGTTTAGATCAAGTTTGCATTTCGTCCCGCTTCATTAATTTTTGACGGAATTATGGCATTTTCAATTCTTAACGGGAACAGAACCAGATTACACTTGCCGGTAGGGGACTAGTATTGCTAATGCAATACTCTCAGAATGCTTGTTTATGTAGTAATATTCCGCTATCGCATGCATGCAACTTATTTGCCCAGTTTTTCAACCGAGCAGCTACTCACATATAAGTTGAAGTTACAGGATTTCAACAACCTCGTTTAAAGTCAGCATTCCGAAAATTTTAGGGTCGTTATCATGACCTTGTAAGCAAACATAACCTATCACTGGGTCATATTTTTGCTGATTTGTTTCCTACCAATTGTTAGACCTCTATTTTTAAACTAAATTTGACTACAGATTGTCCCTTCTACTTGATCAATACATAGGGCTCACGGCGGGTGTAAACGGTCAATAGGAGATGCTTACTCCTCCTAGGCACCTGATCCCTCCTCTGAAATTTCCAGGGGTCAGTGTTTTATGCCCTGTCCACAGATTTGTATTGTTTGAAGTTTTTATGAGATCGTTCACTGTTCGTTATCTTCACCCTTTTTCAGTTCTCATTGCTTCGCTGATGTCCAGGAGTTAAGAATTTTTTTTTTCTAAGATATAATGCCTTATCAATATATTGCATCTCCCTGGAGCCTGAACCCAGGTGTCATGATATTTTTTAAATAAATTTGGTAAAGAGCCCAGCTCTTATTTTAATCATGTCAATAATTTGAATGCTCGAGTTTTAATGACTACAATATTTTTTTTATGGTTTTGACAACGTCCCCTAGACCCCAGGGAGGAAGAGACATGAAATTCACAAATTTTACCCAAAGATGTTATCTATACTAAATATGGAGAACAATTCTTCAGTCCTTCAGCGGGAAAAGCTTAAAATGTTCAATAGCTTACGTTTGTTAGTTGCACGACAGATATTGCACGATCGAAAAAGTTCACCTGAGTGCCTTTGATGACCAATAAATTTTAAGAAGGACTGCAATGTTTCAATGTTGGCAACTCTGTGATTATTTCACTTATGTATAGCAAAAATCGCTTATTTATGGATAAATGTAAATAAAAAAATCCACATATTGCAAGCTCAAGCAGCAAGAGACATAAAACTGTAAAGCAGTCTATAACGACAAAGTATCAATGTACAATGTACAAAGAAAACGTTAAAACCTGAGAGATTAATCAGACGTTCATCAGATATATATTAGATATGGAGAAGAGATATTATAAATAACGTACCACCAATAACATACTGTAGAAACCATCGGAACAGCCAATGCCAGTTGTAACCATCGCCAGTCTCTTATAAAGTACGCAAAAATTAACAGCAGAAACTCCCCAAAGACGTACACCTCTAAAATCATCGTCCCAGAAAACAGTCTTTTTGATGGCCCAACCATTTCCATTCCTACAGGTAAAGAAAATTATTTATTTCAACACCTTTGTTTTGTTATACAGACTGACAATGGGTGTACAAAAGTGGGGAGGGGGATAAATGTATGACATGAAATACTATCATTCCAGTAACAGCGTGTCACTTTGCTTGATCAAGCTTGATAAAGTTTAACATGTTGATTACCATATTACTCATCGATTGGATGTTTGATTTCAATGAAAGCAATACTACTTTGCATATGAAATACAGAACCCAGCAATACTGACCAATTGTATTGAACGATTGTTCACGAGAATGCAGTAAACCATAATCACATGTAGACAGGCAAAGCAAGTATGATGATATTGATCGCTATATAGTATAACAGTAGCAGAGTATAGCCTTACATATTTCATGCTTTAAATTTTCTCATGTACGAGTATTAACTCCATTCGGTCAAATCACAAAAAATATGACACATACTACTTTGAGGACAGAAAACGGGCTTTCACCGACCACGTGTTGCTGCTGACTGCCGCAATGGTAAACAGTCAATCAATATGATTGGCCAGTGTTATCGGGGTATTGTTGGATTCTGTGTTTCTTATGCAAAGTGGCACTGATTTCATTCAAATCAAACATCCAATCGATGAGTAATATGGTAATCAATTTGTGAAACTTTAGCACGCTTGATCAAGCAAAGTGACACGCTGTTATTGGAATGATAGTATCATTTTTTCCCAATAAGATAAGACTTTTTAAATCAAATCAAGGAGAAATGTATGTACATGTTTGTGTAACAAGTATACAAAAATATACCGATTATAAAGGCTCCATGATAATACGCTAAACCACAGGTGCCATCAAAGAATCGAAGAATGATAAACATTAACACATTGTACGAGAAAGGCATGATTATATTAACGACAAACTGTAGGGTAGTGGCGAAAATCACCATCTTACGTCTTCCAATCCTGTAAAAAAATAAATGACTATAATCAATGAATATTATTCAATTTGAATGGTTTTGTATACTCCCTAAAGCCAAAGGCTCGGGTGAGCTTTCTTGATCAAAATTTTCCCGTCATCTATTCGTATAACATTAAATTTTTGACTTCTCTCATCCGGTTTCCACCAAAATATAGCAAATCACTCTTGAATGGGGAAAGAAGTTGATTCTTGTTTGAACAAGAGACATCATACTGCTCGAAGAGGAGTTTTTAAAAGGGTACGTGTTTATGTTGGGGAAATACATGTATTTTGTAAAGGGATATCAAAACTACATATTTTTTTCATCAATATGTCACTATCCATACTTGCTTTATATAAGTTGATGTTAGAGTAATTTCAACAACCTCGTTGAAAGTCATCATATTGTTAATTCTATTGTCGTTATATTGACCTTGTTAGCAAATATAACATATCGCTGGGTTGTATATTGGCTGACGTGTTATATACCAACTGTTCGGCCTTTGTTTTTATACTAAATTTGACCACGGAATGTTCCGTCTACCCGATCTATAAATAGAGCTCACGGCGGGCGTGACAGGTCAACAGGAGAAGCTTACTCCTTTCACGCACCTGATTCCACCTCTGGAATTCCCAGGGGTCGTGTTTTATGCCCTGTTCACAGATTTGTATTGTTTGTAGATTTTTTGAGATCGATCACTGTTCGTTATCTTCACCCTTTTTCATTGGTGAACCCAGTAAAATCAAGTTTTGACTTGGATTTATTGCCTTTTATTCTATTATAATTTTATGAAAATTGGAAATTAAGAAATGAGATAATTTTACTTTACTGAAAAGAAAACTATGATTTAATAGTAAATTATTACTTACACATCGGCCAGCGGGCACAAAGTAACGGTGGCAAAGACATAGCCAAAGAAGTATGCAGAAATGGACAGTGAGTGTAAGATTTCGTTGTCACAAACCAGATTAAACTGAAAGATATAATATTTACTGAATTACATAATTCATAAATGAAAAAAAGAACTACGATCTAACAAGATTCTATAATGCAGTCACCTTTGGTATATGATATTTTAATTAACACTGTGTCAGCAACATAATGAAATGTATGATTGCTATTTGTTTTATTCAAAGAAATCAATACTTTTAATATTTTAATAATGATGTGTAGAATTTAAAAACAAGATGTGTTTGTGAAACACTGATGCCACCGTATGGCAACTCATAGCAAAGGTTAAACTTTCTCAAATGCAAATCGAATATGTTGGTACCCAAAGTAAGGTCTTTTCTCGAGGAATAAACCTGTGAAATATGAAAGCCCTAGCAGCAACCATTGAGTAGAACCATTGAAAAGGTTAAAGTTTTTTCAAAGTATGTCAAATATCAAGGTCAAGGTCAAATGTTATGGCCAGGGTTAAAGTTTTCCAAAAGTAGGTCAAACTCCAAGGTCAAAGGGTCAAAGTTGTTGGTATCGAAAGGAAGGTCTTGTCACAAGGATTACACATGTGAAGTATGAAAGCCCTAGCAAAAACCGTTATGGCCAAGGTTCAAGTTTTTCAAAAGTAGGTCAAACTCCAAGGTCAAGGTCAAAGTTTCAAAGTTGTTGGTATCCAAAGGAAAGTCTTGTCACAAGGATTACACATGTGAAGTATAAAAGCCCTAGCTCCAACTGTTCAAAAGTTATGGCCAAGGTTAAAGTTTGGTAAAATTTTGCCAAACTGGGTCAAACTCCAAGGTCAAGATCAAAAGGTCAAATATGGTGGTACCCAAAGAAAAGTCTTGTCACAAGGAATACACATGTGAAATATGAAAGCTATAGCTTAAACCAATCAAAAGTCATGGGCAAGGTTAAAGTTTTTGCGGACAAACAGACAGACAGAAGGACAGGGAAAAAGCTATATACCTCCGAATCTTCGATACGGGGGCATAAAAATATATTTTTCAGGTTAAAGTATCGAACATGTCTCCATTTCGTTAGGTACTTGAGTCACTTAAATGACCCATTCTTATCTGTTTTTGTTGTATTGTGCGTCGTCCATTGTCCGTCGTTCATAAAATTTTGAGCATTTTCAACTTCTTCTCTGGATGGGTGAGCCAGTTTCAACCAATTTTGATGTAAAGCGTCTTGGAGTTAAGGAAAAAGCTTCATGAATATATGATGAAACCAATCGCATCATCTCGGGTCTTCCCGTATGAGGTCGGAAAAACAACCTCGAATACATGTATTAACATCACCGGATGTTAAAAAAATTTACAAGATAGAGTCACTTCCTATTTATTAAAGCATTGGAAAGACAGAGTTAAAAGTCGTTCCTGTAGTATATTTTAGGTAATATTTTTACATTCAATAAAGTTGAGCACCATACTCTACAGATAAAAGGTCTTCCTACAATTATTTCAAAGTTTATGAAAAGGGGGGTTGTCATGGATGCTTACGTAACACATTCGAGGTTGTTTTTCCGCTTGTCGGAAAGGTCCGTGAAGTGTTTTTCCGCTTGTCAGAAATTTCGATTGATGATGAAACAGTTCTCTCTAAACTACAATGTTTGTTACCCGAGACCTGAGTTCCAGTTCCTGGTGAGGCTAATGTGGTCATAGACTGAAAAAACTCATGATATTCAGGTATCCATCCATCAAGGCCCATAGGCCGCTTGTTACTGATAAAAAGATTTATTAAAACCCTTTTTAGCGTTTATTTTAAAGTTATGTTCACAGACATTTAAGGCATAGGGCTGAATAAGTGATTAATTTATTTTCTGTTTTTCACAGTCACAGGGGCTTTATAAATGATCAAGAAACTAAATTAGATACCACATACTAACTTGTTATTTGAGAGGATTTGCGTTCTTAAGATTCAACATACACATGTATTTTTGGTTCCATATTCGTGCCCTTACCTGCGAGTTAACTGTTTTTGTGAAAACTGATTGGTCATACACCCATTCGGAGCACTTTTCAATCGTTCCATTAACCAAGATTTTACATTCATCGTAGCTGCCATCTGGACGCTTAGGGATTGTCGCATTGATGACTTCATCATGATACTGATTCTGAACTGCATAAGTATCGTTCTGTAAACCTGGGATTTTGCACCTGTATTTACAAAGAACACGGGCATGTCGATTACAGGTATGCACAACTCAACTTTGGGAAGAGTCATAAGGCTGATTGAAATGACACACAATAAAGGACTTGCGATATACTTCGACTGTCACACTAATGAGCCAAGATTATTTTAGCAAGAATTGTTCGGGATACAAAATTGTAGTAGATATAGAGGTAGCAACATCGTACTAAGATGTTGAAAATGTCTTGCTACTCAGGTAACGCTTAAAGCCATAAGCCTATTGCATTTTAAAGCGTGGAGAACATACGTATTTTGTTTACAAGCCGTCTAAATAATCTAATAAAAATGATTAAAAAATCTCATAATGTGAGATTCACATAACATTACTGATTGCAATCTGTTTGACACTTCTGTTTTCGTTAGATGCTCTCTATTATATTCTGGCATTGTGACATTTTAGAATCACGTACATAGCATATCAATGAAACAGTCCACGTTTCCTTGCTTTATTGTTTGTATGTATTCCTCGGCTCGTTGATTTTTTTTCTTCCAAATTTTTATTTTTTAAATTTTGAATAGCAAACATTCAAAAGAATTTGAAAAGGCAAATATACTAAATACTTCGAGTTTTTTGGTTAACCATTTAAATGCATGTATGCAAATGTATGGCGGTATTTAAGTCAATTATACAATTTCATATATATGGCCTCTAAAGCGACAGATAATATGAAGGTTTTTTGGTCTCGAATAAACGCTGAGTTGTCAATTGATTTGTCAGTCAAATGAAAATGCATGATTCTGAACTATGCATTGCAATAAATCAAAGAAAGTATTCATCTTGTGGAGAGTAGGAAAATACCCCCCCCTTCCCCTTCCTGAATGACAAATGTTAAAGAACAGGGATCAATCTCATAAATCGTGTAAATAATACGAAACCTAGAAAGGGCAAAAACACAGACTCCTGGAAACACCAAAGATGGGATCAGATGCTTAAGATATGGAACAGTCATATTTATGTAGTAAATATTCCACAATCAGCTGCATATGGTGTTTTTTGTTTTCCAATTTATTATATACGGAAGAGCATACTCTCAATTTTGAAACAGAGGCAGGCTACTGACAAATAAGTTTATGTTACAAGAGTCTTAATTACCTCGTTTAAAGTCAGCGTTTCGAAAATTTCTATGGTCGTTATAATGAACTTGTTTGCAAATTTAACCTATCAATCAGTCATATTTTGTTTAAGATATTTTAGACCAATTGTTAGGCAATTATTTTTGAACTAAAGTTGACTACGAATTATTCCGACTACTTGATCAATACATAGGGCTCACGGCGGGTGAGACCATCAACAGGGGATGCTTACACCTGATCTCACCTGATCCCACCTGTAGAATTTCCAGAGGTCACTGTTTTATGTATTTCTATCGTTTGTAGGTTTTGTGAGATCAATCATAGAGTTCGTAAGCCCTCTGTCTTGATAAGCGAAACAGAATAGTCTGTGGTCAAAATTAAGGTAAAAATAAAAAATAAACCAATGGCCTAACATGTCAGTCAAAAGAAAGGTTCTATTCGCAAACAAGGTTATTATCACGACTATAGAATTTGCGAATTGCTGATTTTAAATGAGATTGTTTAAAGCTCTTTAATATAAACTTATTTGCCTCAGTTTAAATATTGATCGTACTCAGAACATGCTCTTACGTACCGAATCACTTGATGAACATAAACACAATATGAATGTGATTGCTAATATGAAAAGGTGACGATTGAGAAGCTGAAACCATCCCATTTGTCATATGATTTGGTTATTAGTTAGCCATTAAAGTTCACAGTCATAAAAAAATTAAACCATTATATAACACACTGGGGGTGTTTCTTATTGCAATTTCACTGATAAGTCAAATATGAATGAAAAATACTATTTTCAATTGACATAATGTCGTCAATATATCTAATGTCGAATTCAAGGTCATAGGAAATTTATTTATTTTTCTTATACAGAAGTATTCGAACGACGCTTTATAAAATTTTAAGTAATAAGTAGGATTGAATTTTTATCTTCTTCTTTTTTTTTTTTAAATTTTTTATTACCCCATCACATGAATATGATGATCAATAAGTTTACAGCCAAGGTTGGGGAGCCTTGGATTCTGCAAACTAATTTGACAAAGTTCTTATACAAAACATACATCCTGTGACAGGTGAATTTTTATATACAAAAAAAAATGAAAGAAAACACAACAGTCACACCTCAGTCATACAAGACATGTATATGCAAGCTTTATTATCTAAATTATACAAAAAAAATCATTGTTTCAATAATAAGTAGTTTGAGCAGCAGGGGGTTCAGCTCAAACAGAACAATTATTCAGGACTTGTTCTAATGGTAGACAGTTCCATTTTCTATCAAATTTCTCAATATCACAGTTTTTCTTGTAAATATATTTCTCACATTTATAATAATACAAAATTTCATCTTTAGCTCCTTCAAATGAAGGAATTTGTTTTAAACATCTTTTTCGGTATATGTGTTTCTTTACAATACATGTTATCAGATTTGCAATGTTATAATACTTATCATATTTTCCAATAATAATGTCCAATTTATTCATTGCAGTATCAATTCTTCCACATATATCTTTTATCCAATCTTGAATTTTTCCCCAGATCTCATTTACATATTCACATTCCCAAAGTAAATGTCCCAGTGTTTCTGGATGTACATTACAAAAAGTACACAATTCTGATTCTACAATCCCAATCTTGTTTAAAAATGTGTTTGTTGCAAGAATTCTGTGCATAATGCGGTATTGGAACCATCTAATTTGCATGTCATTTGTAACTTTAAAAATAAGACTATTTTTAGTCTTCCACCAATTACTGTTCACATCTAGATTAAACTCTTTTTCCCATTTCATTTCACATTTAGGTTTTTTCCAACTATGATTCAAAAATACATTGTAGTAATCCTTTGAACCCTTTTTACTTTTTCTTATTATTTGCAAAAATTGTGGGTAAAAAGGTAAGTTATTAACAATATACTCTGTATTGCAATAGAGGTCTAGTTTCTTTATATTATTTATAATCCCGTAATACAAGGTTAATGGTGGATAGAAATTGTGCCGATTATGGAACTCCTCATTACACATTAATTCACCAGTGTTATTGTAAAAATCTACTATGTAACAAACACCTTTTTCAAACCATTGTTTATAAAATACCCTTTTGCTATTAATACATATTGATTCATTAAACCACACAGGACTCAAAATACAGTAATACTCGTACAGTGAGTCTCGATACACTTTCTTAATTCTAAAAAAGCTGAAAAAACATCAATCCAAAAAATATTTGTGCTGGTTTTAATAAGCTTTTGCAAAAAAGAAGGTCCAAAAACTTATATCTGTGATAAGCAAAGTTTCAATTATCAAGTGTTTCCAGCCGGATTTACATGTATCATCATAAAAGCGGCGAACCCATGTAACTTTCAAACTTTTGGCAAAAGTTTCAAGACAAATCATTTGGAAACCTCCATTTTCGTAGCTTTGAATAATATCACTCTTTGCAACTCTTGGAGTTTTAAAGTTCCATATTTACTGATAAAAAATACTTTCAATTTCTTTTAATTTTTCTTCTGGAGGAGTTGGTAAACTAATTAACAAGTGTGTAATTTTTGGAAGAATCAATGATTTAACCACAGTAATCCTTCCTGCAGTTGATAAAATTCTGCGTGACCATGAACATACGAGTGCTTTTATTTCTTTAAGTTTGGGTGTGAAGTTTAGTTCAAACATAGAGTTACTTTCTAGGTTTACACAATATGTTATTCCTAAAACAGTAAAGGGTTTTTGAGACCAGTTTAAGTTTTTGAATTCATCTGACAACCTCAAATTGTTTCTTAGTGATCCTATTTTAATACACTGTGTTTTTTCATAGTTAGGTTTTAGTCCAGAAAACTTTGAGAATTGATCAACAAGAGAGAGAGAGAGCTGATTTTAAAGAGATTTTGGAACCATCTAGTAGCAGTACTGTGTCATCTGCATATTGAAGCAATTAAAATTCCTTACTCACTGTAGTAATGCCCCTGATTAACAAATTATTCCTTATCATTATACCCATTATCTCAGCACAAAGGAGAAATAAATATGGAGAAATTGGATCGCCTTGTCTGCATCCTCTACCTATATTGAAGAATTCAGAAAAAAATGCCATTCTGTATTACACACAATCTGACATCTTGCAGAAGAAGTTTAATTAACTTTATAAAGGAATCACCAAAATTGAAAAAATCTAAGACTTTAAAAATAAATTTCCATGAGACCGAATCAAAAGCCTTTTCAAAGTCAATAAGAAGGACTAATCCAGGTTTATTGTTTTCATTACAATAGTGTATAATATCATAGAGGAGTCTGGAATTTTCACCAAAGTACCGTCCTGCAAGAAAGCCTTTTTGATTCTCATGAATTATTTCGGACAAAATTGGTTTAATACGATTTGCTAATACACCAGATAATAATTCATAAGTGATATTCAAAAGTGAAATTGGTCTCCATTTTTTTAAATACTCTCTAGGTTTATTCCCTTTAGGCAGAATTGAAATGATTCCTTATCTTTGAGTAGCTGATAGTCGACCAGACTTTATGTTTGAAAGACTTAGAAGCAGCGTACCAATGTCTGCCCAGAAGAATTTAAAGAACTCAGCAGTAAAACCATCTGTACCTGGTGATTTATCATTTTTAAAGTTTTTTAATGTATCAAGTATTTCCTGTTTATTAATGTCCAATTTTAATTTCTTTTGAGCTTCTGAGGATACCTTTCTAATATCATTGTCATGTATTACATCATTGAGGTTTACATCTTCTAATGATTGATCTTTATTACTATAAAGTGATATGTAAAAATTTGTAATCTCTTCCAAAATCTCATTTTGTTTATTAATAATTTTGCCTTGGCTATTAATTAATGTATTTATATTTTTATTGACATAATTCCTTTTTTCAAGACCCAGGAAATATTTAGTGGGTTTCTCACCATCCTCAATCCACTTACACCTACTCCTTAATAGCAATACATTTAGTTCATATTTTCTTATTTCTTCTAGTTCAATCTGTAGGTCATTAAGCATATTTGAATATATTTCTAAGTGATATGCATTGTACAACTCCAATACAACTTTTATTTGAGTTTGTAGTTCTTGTTTTCTATTATTTCTTTCCTTAACTTTTTTAGCTGAATAATACAGGGTCATGCTTCTTATTTTCATTACCAATATATCAAGGAACAAATCATCAGGAATTGTTAAACTTGAATCAGTACTGGTATTAGAATCTGGGCCTTTATATTCTGACAGTGTCTCCTTGATTACTTGTTTTACATTTGAAACATAATCCTTATTTCTCAAAAGAGAAATGTTGAAACGCCAAAATCCCTTACCTCGATGGAAATCATTAATTATGAGCTCAATTTCTATAATAGAATGATCTGTTTTGTACCCAGGCAGAATTTTAACATCTTCTACTATTGACATTAACTCCTCAGAGATAAGAAAAAAAAAAATTTAAGCTTAATTCTAAGTTTTTTTTCGTAAAGAGGGTCCCTGGTCTTTAATTTATCGTGAGAAATGGTTGTATAAAGTGTTAATTAAAAAGACATTCGTTTGATCTAAGTGATTTTGAAAAAAATATATATTGTATTTTCAAATTTAAAAAAACTGGAGTTTTTGAAAATTTTGATATTGATTTAAACTACTTCTGTAACATGATGTAGCAGTCAGTACCTCTGAAATGAGTTGATTGAACTCTGCGCACCAGATATCAAACTTTAATCTTCTGAGCTGTCGCTGTGGCTTTAGACGTTTAAATCCATTAAAATTGTTTTTTTTTTCATATCCAGGGACTGAAAATCATAAACTTGACCTTGAAGTTAACCAGCAGAATTATTGTTATATCTGGTTTCACTTCATCTAGACTGAGACTAACCTTGAAAACTCAACATGCCGTGAAGAAAAACATATACCGCACAATAATTTTTGTCTGGGATTTAATAACTAAATAGATAATTATATATAATTGATTAGACCTGTTACAAATAACACACTTCAATCAAGATTCCTTTAATAAACCTGTATAGATTTATTGATACATTTTATGTAGGTACTGTTTTCCATTCCTTTACATGCAGTGTGTATGTTACATGATATGTCGGTAATTTATACCAAGTCGCTATAAGTAATCAAAAGGCGGATTCAATATTTGATTACTTCCCTATATTAAGCTTTTACTATCAAGAAATCATTGAATATATTTATAACAAATGGGTCATTTGCTTAAATGATAATGCAAGAAAATGTGTTATATGTTTCAAAACAAAATAAAATGAATTTTGGGTAACGTTTTGAAAAATATGTATAAAATTTTATTTTCCTCATTAAAGAAAACAATAGATACGTATATAGAATATTATATGGCCTTATCGTTGAACTGCAGTAGGTCGATAAATTATTTAATAAGCACATTGATGAGGGAGAAAATTATTATTGATATGAAATACTAAGGATCGTCTTTACACTGCACAGTAATTTAATTAAGGATACATCTCATTACATTAAAGGGTGCATTTGTGCAGTTAGACTGATCTATTTGATATGGAATAAAATAAATTCCAGTCTGTATTGTATATATAATTTTTATTAATTCAAGTATTCAAAGCCTTAGACCAAGATAAGTAATTGAAAACGTAATTCTTATGTATTTTTCCTATTGGGAAACAGTGGCGTACATGTATATTCCTTTCTGCTAATGTGTAGGCTAATGCGAAGTCACAGATTTGACCTAAAGCGTATCGTTGCCGAATTAGGGATAGGAAAGGAGGGAGTCGCCCCTCTCAATAGAGGGGGGGGGGGGTCAGAGGACCACTTTCTGCGATCTTGAAGACATCTATCATTGTCATTTTCCCAGTGAATATAATTATAAATCATTTAAACATATTTTTATAATACGGAAATTAAAATCTTCAAGACCACTCTTAATAAAATTGAGAAAATTTTAAAATCCTTACACAGTGCTAGGAAATTATGGAAACTTCTTTACTGAATAATCTAAATAAATTTTTTAAAATGTTTTTTTTTTGTTTGACTTTCTATTAACCCCAAAAAATAATAGTCTGATATCGACTTCAAGGTAACATTTCAATATTAGATTTAAATCAGAATTTTTGTATGCTGTAAAAATTGGATAGGCATAAAAGTGTGGATTGCTAAAAATACTTTCATTGCATTTGATGAAAAAAATATTCTAATAACTGGTAAATAAATAAAGATTTATGATCAACTTTCCTCCATTTTCAACCAAATACATGTATAAATAATTTTTTTTACATCAAGAAAATGATGTGTAGGCAACATATGGAATATATACGCCATTGGGAAAGCAGGTCCGCGATTTTTCTTTGTCACTACTACGATGTCTTTCAAGATTTCCTGGGTACATTAAAAAGGCATACATGAACTAAGTAATTTTAATACGTATTCCTTTAGGCTATACGATTTTTCAAAGTCCTAAAGGTGTAAAGAGAGTCCATTTCCATTGTTTTGTTTAATTAATTTTTTATCATTATTAAATACTTTTATATCTTTTTTTTTCTCTATGGCCATTAAATCATGTATTGGAACTTGTGTATTGATTGGTTACATGTATGTACCTTGCGAGACCCGAGTGGTTTCCTTATAAATAATTATCGAATATCTAATTATTCTGCCCATGCATCGCAAGATTGACACTGAATGTTGATAACAAAACATTTGTCTACCGTTGTAATAAAATAAACAACATAGCCATAGGACCCTGGGCACGCCCCCCCCCCCCACCCTTCCCCTTATATTTTTTTTTACCGATAAACCCGTTGAACCCTTTTACGAATATGAATAGGTTTGATTCAGGGGAAAAGTTATTGTTATTTTGGAATAAAAAATGTAAAGATTGTACACTCCCATGCTTGAAAAATACTTAAATAAAGCATTGTGCAAAGGTTTAAAATACGTATGGTGATATTTTTGCTCAGAAAAGCTTTTTGTTCTTTCAAAACGCATTCTACAGCTCCACTTACACAGAGAGGATAATTGTGTCATATTTTTAATTTACTGAGTTAAAGTAAATATTAACTTCATTACGATAATTGACTTAAAAATACTGATGTATGACTTATATGAACCCCAAATATGGGTATTCTGAAAGATATGTCATTGTCTTAATTACGGCATTTGGAATTAACAAAAAAATTACAGTGTTTATCTTTAGGAAATTAACATTTTTTCTTACCTATACAGTTGGTCTCCAAGTAAAAAGTTTGAAACTGGCGTACCAAAGGAATTAAATATGACTGGAAAGAAAACAATAAAAAACAGACGCTTCTGGTAAGGACCAAAAGTTCCCAGCTTTTTAATGAGAGCATCGTAATCCATTTCGTCTTCATCTAAATTTGAATTTATATTGTGTTCGCTACTAGCCTGTACCTATGTCCAGAGCAGTTAGTGAAGGCAGTGGAAAAATCAATGAGGCACAAAATTAACGCCCTACTTTAAAAAAGACACCCTGAATAGCTTACCTGAGCTAGAGTGGGTGTCCTTCTTACGGTATACTTTTTTGTCCTACAATGTGACGACAAATACTGTCTTTGGTTACGAAAAGCTGAACTTTGCGTGTTTAGATCCAGGAATACCCCATTCTTTTTTTTTTATTCAACGATCTTATTTGAACAGCTTCAGAAACCGTTTGAAGGCATAATAAGCATGCATATTAGAAAATTCAATTCAGGTGAGGATCTTTTTGTGTCGCCTGCAGAGCAGAGCGGCACTTAGGGGTCACTTTACCCGCCGTCTGTCTGTCTGTTTGTCACACTCTATAGCTGCAGAACTGTTAGAGGTATGGATTTGATATTTTGTAAATATATTGCTTGGAACTGTTGCTTTTGTAAATTATCATGGTTACCGACCTCGTGGCCCTTGACCTTTTACCTCCTTTTTCAAAATAGCGCATAGTGCCGATATACAGCATATTTTCGACATTTAAGAGCGCTCGGCACTTTGAAATGAAAGTTGCAGGTCTTTCGGATGAGACCTTTTAAAAAATCGAGGCCCCGTGTCACTATAGGCGTTGGCACGATAAAGAACCCCTATTTGCTCAATGGCCCTGAGTGCCGAGTAAAGGTCTAAATTTGAAGCCCTTCACCGGTTTATGGTGACGCCTCTATATGAGTGAAAAATTCTCGAACGGGACGTGAAACAACATACAATCAATCATTTAATACTATGAAAATACATTGGGATCGGTATTCCACAATGGATCTTGTAGACTGACAATTGCAGTAAAAACGGGCTAAAATCTATTTAGGAGGATTGTAATAAAATTTCTAATAATTTCAATTTGATTATTTATTTAAGGGTCAGGGAACCATATTTTCTTTGATTGTCAGATTCTATCGCAGTCTTATACTTTCCATCGATGCCACCAAATGCATGAACTATCATGCTAATAATAAATGAAATATGGAGATAACGAACAGTATTCAAGCTCAAAGTCCATTAAAACAATACAAAAAAAAAGCTGATCACTCTAGATTTATTTACATCTTTAATGAAGCTTCAAAGCAGGCGAAACATGCGTTTCTTTGAGCACTCTATTTTTTTTTTAGATTGGAGGCGAAATAACTTGCCACCTTATAGTGCCCTCTTTTGTCTTAATAGGCGATAGAATAATGCAACCTTGCATAATTTACATATTCATGTTCAGAATTTCCATGTAATGTAGATTGAAGTTTGGTTTAAACATGCCACGAAGCTAGAGTGGTGCCACAATCTTTTTTCAACTAAATTTCATGGGAAAATAGAAGGAAAATCTTATAAAACAATCATCTGAGGGAAAGAAGCGGCAACATAACTCAGGTGAGCAATGTACCCTTTGGCATCTTGTTAGGTCACCTGAGTCACTAAGGTGACCTAATGCCATCTGTTTTTATTCGTCATCTTGCATCGTTCATTTACATTTGAAATATTTCTCAGCTTCTTCTCTGGAACAACTAAAACAATTTCTACCAATTTCGGCATATAGTATCTGTGGGTAAAGAGGGTCAAAAATTGTGAATTTCATGGTACCTCCCCCCCCCCCCCGCAACCAGGGCCTGAGTGATGGGTCTAAAACCATCAAAATTAGTGCAAACTTTAAAATCTTCTTCTTTACTTCTGGACTTCAAGTGGAGAGATCAAATTGTTGTCATGATTGTAATAAGCATAAAGCTTCTACCAAAAATTATGAAATTCATGGCCCCATCTTCTCGACTCTTTGGTTTTACGCAGACAAACCAAGTGCAAGGTTATGATGATCAAGAGTGCTTCTTCCATACATGTGTAATAGTGAAATTCTTGGCCATTGGGAGAGGAATTCTGAGATTAGGGCGGGACTGTATTGATCATATAGTGAAAATGCATTAATTCTTTGAAAATCTTTGCTTTTGGTTATAAGGCAGACAAAGTAAGTGCATGGTTATGAGGAGCAAGGGTGCCTCTTCCAAAATTGTCAAATCCATGGCCCCAGGGACGTTCTGGAATAAGGGCGGAGCTCTATTGATTATTTAGTAAAATTGCATTATTTTTTTAATTATCTGTACTCATCGGTATAAGACAGACAACCTAATCGGATGGTTATGATGAGCAAATTTGCTTCTTCAAAAATCTTGAAATTCATTACTCCTGGGACGACAGGGGTTCTGAAGTTAGGGTGGGGCTCTATTGATCATAGATATGAAAATGCATTAATTCTTTGAAAATGTCTGCTCCTGGAGATTAAGCAGTCAAATTTAGTGCATAGTTATAATGAGCAAGGGTGACTTTTCCAATATTGTGACATTCAAGGCCCCTGGGACAGGGTTTGCTGGAGTTAGGACGAGGCTTTATTGATCACATAGTGAAAAAGGAAAATGAATAAATACGTAGAAAGTCTTCTCTGCTCCTGAGAACTTAGCACAAAACTGAGTGCATAGTTAGGATGAGCAAGAGTGCTTCTTCACAAATTGTGAAATTTATGGCCCCTGAGACATGAGTACCTGAATTAGAACAGGGTTTTATTACGATGATGTATTAGAATTTATACTCTGCTTTAAGAGAAGTTATTTCCCTTTGCTATTCATTTTTCATGAAAAAAAAAATCACTGTAAATAATGCACATAATGTATATGACAGGTAATAGGTAGAATTGTAAATTCTGCATTGATAAAAATTAGACAAAAGTGCATTACATATAAACAAAGACCATGAGAGACCAATTGCAATGGCCTGGGTGTAGTCTGTCAATACGCTTTTCTATTTTCGTTATGTTTTGTGGTGGTGATGGAATGTAGATGGCACTGGTATATGCAGGCAAGTTTTTGATTGTTGCTGATTATCCATCGAATTATTTTGTTGATCCCTGATCATCCTATTTTTCATGTTTTTGAGTCTCAGTTTTTGTCGTGATATCATAATTATTTAGAATTCCAAGGATCCTTTATAGGGTTATATTATACTCAGGTGACAGTTAAAGCCTTTGGGCCTCAAGTTTTATTTGAGTCATGGATTATTTTTTTTTGACTGACTAATTGATCACTTTCGATTATAATTGCCTTGAAGACTTACGTAAGTGGGAACAAAAATTCAAGATTTAATGAACAATGTTTCAGAGGAATTTTAAAATTTTTAAATTGATAAACTGTGCTTAATTATGTGAACACGTGGCGCAGTGGTAAGAGCGTCTGCTCTAGAGTCGCGGAGTAAGGAGTTGATCCTTACGTCGCGGGTTTGATTCCCACTATTGGACGTGGAGACCGGTGCTTCGGATGAGACCTTGTAAACTGAGGTCCCTTGTCGCAGTAGGTGCTGGCACGAAAAAGATCCCTCACTGTTCAATGACCCTAGGTGCCAAGTATAGGTCAAAATTTGCAGCCCTCCACCGGCAAGTGGCGGCGTCTCCATATGAGTGAAAAATTCTTGAGAGGGACGTTAAACAACAAACAAAAACATTGATTGATAATTATATCTTTTTTAATGTCAGAGTCAAAACCATCAATAGCTGTTTGTAAATAGCTTACTGGATCAAGAGTTTATTTTACAGATATTCCAGCTCAAAATAAAAGCAAGATTTAAGAAGCGAGAAAAACGAGAAAGTTGAAGTTACCATGGTGTCAATTCCATAGATATAAATGTCGGATGACCAAGTATTTTGATATAATCTTCAAAAAAGATGATCAAAACTTATTCTTCGCTTTTGATTGCTCCAATTCAATGTTATTTACAAGTTTCACGCTAAAAATAAAAGACACATGACCTTGAAATTGACGATAACAACCACGCCATAGATACTACAACTTTTCTTTTTTTCCGGCACTTACATTTTGCACTTTTCTTGCTTTTACCGTGCAGTTGATATCTCAAAACTTCGCCTTCTTCATATTTTTCATAAATCGTTAGCTTTATGATACAATTATCTTAAAAGAAACACATGATATTGACTTACTATGTAACTTTAAGTGTATATTTTTATAACCCGTCCTTCTAATTTGTCAAGTGACCTAGTTTTTAGAGGTGATCACCAAGTCAGAACTACACTGTCTAATTTTCCATCGATGTTTATTTAATCTAGGACAGAATACCCTTTAGGTTAGTTCACAGAGGACGTGTTATTGTTAGAAACCGAAATCCTGTCCCAACTTTAAGACACGTTAATTTGATATGTTGCTTAAACCAGGAGTTGAGATTTTTTATTGAAATAAAAGAGCAGAAAGGTCTTAAACACTTTTTTTTCATAATGATTTAGCACATAAAAATAATGTTAGAGGTGAAATATGGAGATAATAACGAACAGTATTCAAGCTCTTTAGTCCATTCAAACAATACAAATCAGGAGCAGAGCAAACACGGACCTCCAACACATCAGAGGTTGGATCAAATGCCATGGAGGAGTGAGCATCCCCTGTCGACCGGTCATCACTTCCACCGTGTGCTCCTTGTCATGATCGGGTAAACGGAAGAATCCGTAGAAAATTCAGTGTGTAAAATTTCAAAATTTTACTATCATTTAAAACATTGCATTGATGTCATTCCTTTGTTTTTGCAGTCTAAAAATTTGCCTTTGACAGTCCGATACTAGTGAACAGTCTGATATTAAGTGTAATATCAGACTGCCTCAATACTGATATCTTTCATAATTGGACTGTTACTGCACAAAAGAAAAAAATAAAAACGTGATTATATAGCGAACAGCAAAGCTTAATAAATGAAAAAAAACTTCCAATTAAATCAAATATACTGTAACGAGGACAAAATGCAACTGACTAGAGAAGGACTCGAACACCAACCCTCTGAACTTGTAACAAACTTATTGAACTTAAGGCAATGATTTCATTTAGTGTGAAAATTTCAGAAATTCCCTTCCTGGGTTGACCTAT